AAGATCATTTTATTTGAGAGGGCAAAAACAACTTTCCTAGTGGAGACCTTTTACTGAGAAATTACAGAAACAGTATTTAGCCCCTGTTTAATTCCCATTGTTTTAAAACTCTTTTTTCTACGGGATTATTTTTAACAACGCATTCACACAATAAAATATTATGTACGTAAATCCAAACTTTTCCTAATTTTTTAACCATACATTCTCCCAAAAAATAAAAACTCTTTAAAATGGAAATAATGGCACCAAATAGGGGCTTAATTCCATCCAATTTATGAAAAACATAATGAATAGAAATATTCTGAGTCTTCTATTCTTTTTCAATTGTCTTGTCTACTGCTCCAGATTTCTCTCTAGTGTTCGAGGTGCCACCACATCTGGGGTACTCGCTTTGAAAATTAGATATGGCCGTGTGGATTCATAGTGAGCCAACTGAATCATATGCTTTACGAAGTAATGATACTAAATTACTCTAAATTATATAACTTAATCTTAAACATAAGTTAGTAATGGTCTTTTAATTTATTTATTCCACTGTATGATTCATGTTTTGACTGGACAGTTGCATTAATTTTGAAATCAATACGGCCAGATATTGTGTATTACTTCAGAATTATTTCCAAAAGTTCAATACAAGTGAAAATGTTACAGAAATAAAAATCCTAATTTATATGATAACCAGTCATGCATAATTCAAAATTTTCATTTGTAAAATTTTTTTTTCACCCAGCATATCAAATTTAACAAAAAAGGTTGACTACTAGACCACTAATTTCTAATGATAAATATTAAGCTAAATAGGCTGGAATTATTCAAATTGATGTTTTTAGCTCGCCATTAAATCAGATACCCTCACCACCAACCTTCCAGTCAATTCTCAAGTGCATAATACAAGATCTGTGGGTGCCTAATTTATTACTCAAAAGCTGGAGCAGTAGACATGATAATTAGAAAAACACTGAGTATAGGAAATAAAGAAAAGAATATCTACATTTACTAATTTTTCTCATGAAGTCGTGGCTGCATACACCCCTTTCATACAAATCAAATAGGATTTCCAGGTCGCATAGGCATTCAACTTATTTACTGTATCATCAGCACAAACTGGAGTGTCCAATTTGGATTCCACACGTGTCCACTTAGACTCTCGAGCAGAGTCCAAAAATAAGACTCTACACTCTACAAAAGTGAAAAGAAAAAACAGACTTTGCTGCTTAATGTTCCTAGCCAAACACGTTGTAAATACAACTAAATTTACAGTTTCAATGATCGGCACAAATTGGAGAGCCCAATTTCGACTTCATGTAGGAGTCCGTTTTGAACTTCCAGGACCAGCAAAGTTTCCGAGTGACCAAAAGAAATTTTAATTCCTAACCAAACCTGTTGTAAATACAACTACAATCTAAAGTTCAACTCAACAAATTCTCTAACTAGTACAATCTGCTAAATTGCAATTTTTGTCTTTAGGGGAGGACATTATTGTTCGAAGAACCAAATGAAATGCAAGCAAAATGTCTATTGTTTATTAAAAATATGAGAATACGAAAAATCAATATATATTTATCATGTATAAATTATAATTAAATTAATTAACGTGTATAAAGTCTATACAAACTTGTTAATTCAGTCATGTTGTCCCAAATCTTTAAACATTCCGAGTATCAGTGCTTAACACTTCGCTTACACAAATCACTTATAGGGCAAATGGAGCATGTTTGGCTGAGCCTTAATCAAAGGTACTAATAGGCTTCTAAACCCACGCCTTAATCTCAAATAGGATTTCTTTTAAGTTACAGTCTTGTACTAGGTTTCACTTTGTCTTGTACTAGGTTTCACTTTTACTAGTTCATTAAAAGTGGCTTACTGGGAGAGTGTCTTGGAGCTTGGCTCAGCAATCTCTTCAGGAGCTTAGTCACACCTCAAGGTTCATATTAAGGGAAGCAGAGAGGGACAGCCCTCAGCCTATCATCCACAGTTCTCTTCAAAAGAAGTAAAGCTTTATTTCTTTTGAACAAAATACTTTTTCTTTTTTAGTCTTAGCCAAAGATGTTTGTGGAATCCTCATAATCATTGTAAAACTCGGCACTTACTAATCATTTATTGAGGTTGTAATTTTATTTCATACACAGGGCAATTCAAAATCTTCAACTAAAAAATTGATAGTACGCAATCAACAAAATTGAAATTAGGAAAATAATACCTCTTACGTTTTTTGGCTATGGGATCATCATCGTCATCATCTACAACATCGACAAAGTTATTCTCCGCCGGCAGGACATCCGCCTGATTCTCATGGCCCTTCTCCACCAAATTCTTGGCTTTTGGAACAATACTCACCTCACCAGCCTGATCCGAACCAGACTCTGCAGGAGAATCCAAAAGCACATCCAACAAAAACTCATCGGCGTCAAACAATTCCTCTTGATCAGCCATATAGTTCAATTGAAGCTGCTCGATCGGCAGAGTCCTCGCATCGGGAGAAGAATTAGGGTATAATTCATCGGCGGCGGTCTCATCAAAGCTATCGAAATTTACATGGTCCCAATCGACTTGTTCATCTTCTATCGCCCCATATTCGATCATCGTCAATATTATCAAACGAAAAAAATAAAATTAGAGAACACACTGAGACGTGTTTTGCCGTATTAATGGATGAGAGAAAAGCTGGTGCACGGTGTTTGCGTTGTATCTGATCACTAATTATATCTCCGAACAACGTCATTCGACCAATCAGAACGCGAACATTTCAAAATGTAATTGTTGACACATAAAAATTCAGTCCAAATTGAACGGCCCAAGGAATGAGGTCCAATTGAAGGGTCCCCAAATCAAATAATCCAAAGAACGAAGCTCAATCAAACAATTCAAGATGAAAGCCCAAATAGGAAGGCCCAAGAACGCGGTAACGCCATCGCCCAAGTTTGTAAGTCGCCCAGAATCTGAGCGAATGGAGTGCCATGCAATCGCCCAGAGCTGTTACTCTATTCTCGTCCGAACTTTCAAGTCGCCCAAGGTCTTAGCAAACATAAAGTGTTGTGGTTATCAAAAAGTGCAGTTATCAAAGCAGTTATTAAAGCAGCCCTATCACGTTCCACGATTCAAGGAATTCAATCGAAAACGGTTGAACGACAAAGAGTAATGGCAGCAGTTAAAAAGGCAGTTTCATGACAAGTTGGCCATTACGAGGAAAGTGGGCAGTTGTAGAACGATCAAGCAGTTTTTAGGCGGTTGATCACAAAGAGATCGTCCATAAAGTATGAAAGGGAGAAAAAACTTAGAGCAAAGGACCGAATCAAAAACTCTCGAACAGAGAACATGTAATTTTAAATTTCTTAGCTTAGATTTAAACACTTTTTTCAGTAACTCGTGTGCTTGCGCCCCTTGGAAGCATTTTGTTTTTAATTTCCAATTGTAAAGTCATCGCTAATAAAAGAACACCCCTTTTTGGGACTTTGTCTCAAGAGGTTTGTCCCTTACACAATCGTCTGATCCCTTTTAATTGTTAGCGATTAACCTGCGCGAAACAATTTGGCACGCCCGGTGGGACGGTGGTGTTTGGTGTTGAAAATACAAAAAGTGAAACAATATGTCTCAGAGATCCGATAAGGAAGCAGCAAGTCAGGGAGGAGTCCAGTCTGTGATCGAGCGATATGAGGAGCAGTATGCCTCTCCACGAACAGATGGACAGAATCAGAGCAGTAACAGTCGCTACGAACCAACGACGGAGTTGAGTCCTCGAACCATGCGTGCATTACTTGGAGAACTCACACAAGACGTCGTTGAATAGGTAAATCTTCGAAGTATTCATAATATGGAAAGATTTACCCAAAATGGGAATGCACATTATGACAACATGGCCAAACAACTAGACACTTTGAACGAAACAATGAATAAGTTAGTAGGCCAAATATGTCAACCGATTATACCTCTTGCAAATCACTTTCAAACTAGGACAATTGTGGGACATAATCCCTCAGTCCTAAATCCGAATCAAGGGGTAGAACCACTTTCTGGCCCCTCTACTTCAAACCAAGGGGGTACTGCACTGTCAAATCAGAACAATGGTAGTGGTACGCCTAACTTGGGGGGTAATCCAAACATAAGAGATAATGTCCTAAACAATAGACAGAATACCCAATGTGTTAATGAGGGAATAGATGTTCAGGCTAATGGTAATAGCTCTAATCATGGTAACTTTGTTGCCAATCAAGGACCAAACATCAGGCCTCGTGCAAATCAACCGGTTAACCAGCCTATAGGAATTCCATATGACCCCAACGTCATGTTGAGGAATCAGATTATGAAAATCGTACAGGATCAGATGGCTTTTGGGGTGCGTCCCGTCGTTAGGCCGACTTACATAAAGCCATATCCTGATTGGGTAGACCAAGCATATACATGGTCTAGAGAGTATAAAGTGCCAGAATTCTCACTGTTTATCGGTTTAGGAAAGGTGTCTACTCTAGAACACATAGGGCGATTCACATTGCAAAGTGGTGATGTAACCGATTACCATAAAATGAGACTTTTCCCTAATTCATTAACAGGAGTAGCTTTCTCCTGGTTCATCAACTTGCCAACGAACTCTGTTCAAACATGGCAACAATTGGAACAGCTATTTCACGCTCAGTTTTATAAAACTGAGTCTGAAGTCACTTTGACTGATCTGGCGAATCTACGTCAAATGCCAAACGAATGGGCAGAAAGTTTTCTCCAAAGGTTCAAGACAGCAAGAAGCAAGTGTTTTGTACCTCTGCCTGAAAAAGAATTTATCAAAATCGTTCAGGACTGCTTGAACTTTGATTTAAAAAAGAAATTTCAGGACAAGGAATTTCCTGACCTTTTCCAGTTGAGTACGAATGTGATAAGGTATGAACGACTGATAAGAGAGGAAGAACAGATGAAAAATTCTAGTAAAGGGACTTATTACAAAGACCCAAATTTTGACGTTCATACCATCAGCGACGAGTCATACGATCAGGCCGAAATGTGTTTCGCCGAATTGGTCAAAGGAGATACGTATACTTGTCCCATAATGGCCAAGCCTAGACCATCGGGCAAAGATGAGCCCATAAAAGATGGAAACATAAAGGCTAGAACGTTCTCGTTCGATGTAACCAAAGCTGACCTTATATTTGATAAATTATATAGGGATAAGCAGATAAAGTTGAGCGATAAGCACAAATTGCCAAACACTGAACAAATTAAGAGTAAAAAATATTGTAAGTGGCATAATGCATAGTCACATTTGACTAACAATTGCTTGGTTTTTTGCCATGTATTGCAAGATGCCATTGAATCAGGATGAATTACGTTCGACGATAAGAAGAAGATGGCAGTGGATGAAAATCATTTTCCACAGCCACTTGGAGTGAACATGGTGACGTCTGGTTTCAAAAACAAGTTGTCAAAATTCAAGTTGGTCGTAGATGATGGAGAAGAGTATCCTAGACCACATCCCAGTGTCTTTGAACGAATCAAGGGGAAAGAACCAAAAAAGGGCGAAGACGTCCTATGTGCAAGATGTAAAAGAGAAGTGAATGGAAATACGGAGAAACCAGGGATATGGCAGCATCCCCATCACCCTACTTTCTTCCCAAACACTCAGCCTGGTAGAGTGCGAGGTACATCATTCTATAGAGGACCGCCTTTTGAGAGGCAGTTCCGGCCAGCAGATAATGGAAGAACATTCAGGCCGCAACCTCGCTGGCCAAATGTATGGCATTCGTTCCAGTATAATACAGGAAGGGTAATATCCTTTGATGAGATGACTAGAACCCAACAAAGGCGTTTCCAACGAAACTATGAACGAATGATGAGGTAGCAACATGGAGTGCCACATCCTAAAGCGCCTAAACTATTCAAGGTAGCCAATCAAAATGTCCTCAAAGATAGTGAAGAGACCGGTACAGATGAATCAATGAAGGAACTGCCAGAAACTTCTTCTGGGAGATCAAAGTTTGAGTGGGACAGAAGGGATGGAGAAGATCCAGATCAGCCCCTTACTATCCAGTTCAATACCTTACCTCCTGTCGTGGCCAAAAATTACTTACTGGCCAATGAATTCAAGAATAAAGAAAAAGAAGAAGAAGAAGGGGAGGACAACGAAGGAGAGGCTTGCGTGCTGGAATGTGAAGAAGGTCAGACTTCTAGAGAGGCCTACAACGATGAAGAAGACGACGGGATGACAGACATTGAAGAAGAAATCGCCCTAGAAGCAGAAGGAAGAAAGAGAGGAGTATCGCGCAATACTCTGTTGAAGCAACTACATCGAGAGGGAGTTCGCGAAGTAGATTTGTTGGGAGAACCATCTGGGCGTCCTTTCGATTTCTACGTACTGTACGGGCCACCCAAAAGGAAGAAGAGAGTGTCTTGCTCTGAAAAGTATGGATCACCTCCAAGAATAATGCCCCCTCCCACAGGTTGGGTAACTGATGAGGAAGCATTAGAAAAAAGAAAGAAGGAAATTCAGGAGACAGAGGATCAACGCGATATGCTGCACGTCGACTTATCACAGGAGGATAATTCGACAGAAAATAAGCAGGAAGTAGAAATAGAGGCTGCCGAAAAGGTTATTTTTAAACGACCAGCCATGAAATTAACTAAACACTTGAGGCCATTGTACGTTAAAGCTTTAGTTAACGGCATCCCTGTGGCAAAAGTGCTTGTTGACAATGGAGCAGCTATAAACACCATTCAATCCAGGATGATGAGGAAGTTCGCAAAGACAGAGGGTGACATGATTATTACAGAAGTCATCCTTACGAGTTTCAATAAAGGAGCAACTTCGGCTAAGGGAGTTATGCCATTGGACATAACTATAGGGACGACTACTAGGACCACAGTCTTTTTTGTAATAGATGGTTGTCCTACTAGTTACAATGTGTTACTAGGAAGAGATTGGATACGCGAAAGTCGCTGTATACCCTCATCGCTCCATCAATGCCTGATCTTTTGGAATAACAAAGGCGAAGTAGAGGTGGTACAGGCCGATCATAGGCCTTTTGTCGTAGAAGCAAACTCGGTGGAAAAGTTCATGTACGAAGGAAACTATGGACCTGTCAGGGTAGTACAAGATGGGGAAGAAACTCAAGTTATCGCGCAAAGCGAAGAGCCATTTTCAGTGGACGCACTCACTGAAATGTTCAGACAGATGAGGCCAAATATAGTGGCCCTGGAAGAGCCAGTAATTGGCAAAAGAATAATCAAAGAGTCTTGAATGGATTCTAAGTTACGAAAGTAAATTGCCGACATTCATGCCTTCAAAGCCAGACTAATGTCTTTCAATAAGGAATGCAATGACAAGGCGAAAGAAGAGACAGCCCTGAAAGCACTGAAGGACAAATTAGCAGTATTCGAGTTAGAACAAAGCATTGGCCAAGAAGTCAACAAGGTGGACTGTTTAGAAGAAGAAGTACTTACAAGGGAATTGGACGATGAAGTGATGCGGATCATTAAACCTGGATACGCTCAAGCACAAGATCCTCTGATCAAAGTAAATATTGGCAATGAAGGAGAAGACCGTCCAACGTTCATCAACCAAATGCTCGATCAAGAGGTTAGTGATAAATTAATCGCTTTGTTAAAGGAGTATAAAGATTATTTTGCTTGGGAATATGAACAAATGCCTGGTTTAGATAGAGACTTGGTGGAACATAGGTTATCAACTAAGCCTAATTTTAAACCTCATAGGC